GGGGGGTACCCATATATATATATATATATATATATGTGCATTTACATGTACACGACATAAGCGTATCGAGATACCACAATAGAGCACAACACTATGTACGTATCGAGATATCACAAGAGAGCACAACACTATGTAACGGAATACCGGAATACAACTTCACACTCTAAGTACGTTGTGCATACAACCACATGTCGTATCATGGCTCATTCTATCACGCGGTCCTGCAATTCGCCATGTTCAACCTTTGCCTATGATTGATTAAACTCGGACTTAGCGGTGTATCTGTGGCTCCAAACACTATGCAATATGCATGCTAATGCATACGTGTAAACAGATCAACCAGCAAGCGGATAACTGGCAGCATTCACAAGCATTCAGTAGCATTCATTAAGGAATGGCCAGACACTATCCACAAGGCTAACAAGACAAGATCGCGAAAGGAGATAAGAGCAAGTTCTAAAGGAAACCCTTCATCAACAATGCAGGTCATGATCGCACAAGCGTGCGAACACATACCGACACACACCGATGCCTACACACAAACACGAACACACACTCACACACGCAAGACACACACACACACACATCATCCGTTGCATTTCTGTTACGTCTTTTGGCAACTTCAGCCTCCGGTGGAGAATCCACAACGCTTTGCGGAGATTCCAGCAGCTCCATGTTCCAACGCACGCATCGCACGTCCCACTTCGAGCTTGGGCCAGTGTACAGGCGGACAAGTTTCATTTCTGCCCCACTCCATCCCGCATGCAATGAAGACAGGAAGTGCATGCTGATGTCCTGGCTTACGCCGAGCTCTGCCATCTTGCGGATTGTCCGCTCGATGGAACCGCGATTGTGAGATGCCACCAGCACCTGCACACGCCAGCACGGCCCCTACAAAGAGCTTCGAAAAGAAGCAGCTGCCTCTGCTGGCGCACCACCTGGGCCCTGGAGAAGTCAAGAATCACTGCAGACTGCAGGGTAATGACTGTGCCTTGCCATCCTCCCCATGGTCCAAGATCAAGTCGATGGACGCATGAAAATTCTCCTCTGTGTCCTCGTAACTCTCCTTGGTGCACTGCACCACGGCTTGGGAAAACATTCCGTAGACAGATGCTTGCAGACCAGGATCGCATATGGGTGACTCTAATTCTCGCTTGAGTGCCTTCTCACGTTCTGAAACCATGTACCTTAGAGTCTTAGAGTCTCTCCGAGACTGATGAAGCTCCAGGATAATGTTTGAATTCCAGACACACTTGAAACACGAAAAACTGGGCAAAGAGACGCACCCCGCACAAGCTTGGCTCCGAAGCGCCAGCCTTCTCGCCTGACACGATCGAAGCAGTCTCTGCACTGCTTAATGTCGGCCTCGGATGCGTTACTGAGATACTGCTTGCTGTGCCACAGCTGGACTGGGTGAACAAGGCTCGGACTGCTCCTGCGGTCCTCGTCCGGGCGATTACAGGTAGGCCCCGCAAAGTTAGCTTCTTGCATTCTGTTGCAGGGTCGCTTCGACCGGCCCACTCAAGTGCAGTTGATTTGCCAATCTCCTCCGATCAAATCTGTGCCTCTGGAAGTGGCCTCTCACTTGTTGTGCGGACACTTGTGTCTTGTCGCAGCCATGTTGAGACCGGGACGGTGCTGCGAGTTGCGCAGCAGTGCATGTAGACTTGCACCGCAACAAGAAACAATGACAAAGCACCTGGATCTTTGCAGGTCTCGCTGAACTCTCGTCGGCATTCCCTGCCGAAGGTTGAAGATCGGACTCGCAGGCCAGCGTAAACTGCCAAGTTCATACGCCGGCAGTGCCTTGAGGTACGTCTGGTACGTATTGTAAACCTAGACGGTCTCAACAGCGATGCTGCCCTGTTGTTGTCACGTTCGAGTGACCGGCAATCGGCAGCTCCCCTGCATTGTAGATCCTCAGCCGCAGTGACTTCAAGACTTCATCATCTGAGCAGGCTCAGGAAGTCCGAGTCTCCGTTGCATGAAGATTGTGATGTGGTCGATTGCAGGCTGGATGTCGGTCCATTCCGCATCGATCCTAGGCTCCGCGTCTACGCACAGCCTCAAGACCACGGCTTCAAGCCAAGCTGCATTACGCGTACGCCGAGTTCCTGTGAAGCTGAAACAAACTCGACTAGCACCACCACAAGCACCAGCCCACCTGAGCCAAATCCAGGATTCCCTGGACTCGCTGCAGCATGTTTCCTTAGATTTTCAGGCAGCCTCCTACCCCGTGAGGATTTGCCCACAGGAATGAGCATTTGCATAGTTCGGTCATGCGGCTGTACAACTGGAGCTCCTCTTCGTTGAGCGCAGCGCGGTACAGTCGTCCTTCGAGGCTGACAATGGTGCACCAAGCAAGCCACATCGTGCACGAGCATGTTAAAAGAGAACTCCTCGGTGCTTGCACCCTCGCACCAGCTCGTTGATTTCGGACAGTTTGACACTCGATGACCACTCCAAATAGCTGATCTGCCTCAACATTAAATCCCCGAGATGTTCGGGTTGGAACCGAGACCCCAACAGCAACTTCAAACCTCAGCCCGTCTCAGCACATGGCCCATCTCCATCGGTGTCCATCGTTTCGAACATAGACTTGAGCTCGGCCTGTACACTGATCGGGGGTGTCACGATGGCCAGGCTCCTAGGAGTAGCTGAAACGGCTGAAGACATCATCTTGTGTATGATCCCGGTTCGGCCGGGCCCCCCCCCCTCCCCCCCCCAATGGTTCCTCCTCCCCCCCTGTGGTGTGGTGTGGTTGCGGGTTGCTTCGCCGTCCCTGGGTGTGGTGTGGTGTGGTTCGGGAGTGGGTCTGCTTAGGCTGGTTACCCCACTCCCCCCCTGTGGTGTGGTGTGGTTTGGGTTTCCTGCGCGGGTCTGCTTGGCGTGTGAGCCCTCGTGTGGAAAAAGCTTGCACAGTCACACACAGATTCGGCTTGGGGAGCGTGGGGGGGGGGATACCATTGGGGGGGAGGGTCGGTGAACCGAGAACCGGGATCATATAGGATCATATATGACATCTGCCCCGATGCGGATGCAGCACCTCAGTCTTGCCCTCAAACATTTTGAGCCAGCCAGTCTTGAAGGTCTCGAAATCCATTTTGAAAGACCGGTCTATGGCCTTAGACTTCGCCACATGTCTCGTTTTGAAAGCTTGAAACGGAACGAGACAAGATAATCACTGCGGCTTGAAGTGGAAGGCAGGCAACATAGAACGGCTCGGAAACCTCGTCGTCGTGCGAGAGCCGCTTGTACCTGGTGCGGACCCCATGCAACCCAATGGACCCAACACTGGCAAGAAACGCCGCGACAAAATGGCTGCAGATGCTTGCCAGGGCAAGGGCACAATCGACAGACCTCCCCAAGGCAAGTAGACATCCGCTCGAGCAGCTGTGGATTCCTCGAATCGAACTCTTCGTTGAGACTGCATTGCGCCGCCCTGCGCAAGCACAGTGCAAGCAGGACTCCCCAGGCCAGACAACTTGATCGCAGCAAAGCCATCCTGGGCTCACAGCAGTTCAGATGTTCTGGCACACTTGCTGAAGACTAAGCAGGACTGGAAGAATTGTAGCCACGCCGTCTGGTGTTGCATCTCGCACTGCACGAACAGCTGTCCGAAAGATCTGAGCATTCGCATCGCAGAGTGCCTTGCATGGTGCATGCATCAATACAATCGCTCTGCAAGCGAAAATGAGCCACTACTCACTACCCTGTGCCTCATTCTTGTAGTCGTAGCTGCGGCTGCTCATCGGCGCTCCGACAATCTCCTGGGGGAAAATACAGCGCGGGACACAGATCTGCTCAAGCCGCAAGCGCACACAAGCGCACATAAGCGCACCCAAGAGACCTCCTCGCTGACTTCTTCCGTCGGCTTCACGATTTCCGGCAGTTCTCCGTCTTTTGCTTCTGCGGCATAGTCCAAGATGCCTCCGACCTCAGCTGGCCGCCAGACTCGAGACACAAAGGCTCCCCATCGGAAACAGGCCAAAAGCCGCCAAGGCTGGCACGTTGTATCTGCGAAGCTCGTGCATTCGAGGCACTATCTCCTGCAGACTTCACAACGTGGGTGACATGTCGCAGGTGGAGACGAGTGAGTTCTTGCAAGCTGGAGCCAAAACAAGCACGTGTCCTGGCTGGTTTCTCCTGCACAGAAATGATCAAAGAAGGTCTTCCTGAGGAGGAGATGAGTCAGCCTGCAAACAGCTTGAGTAGCAGCAGGATCACGCCTCTGTGCACACAGCCTGGAGCCCAGGATCTTGAGCGAGTAGTCGTAGAGTGTGTCGCAGTGACGCACGATTGGGCCAATGGCGCAAGTTTGGAACACACAATAGGCACGAACGAGCTCCCCTTAGCTCCGAGATAACAAAACACCAAGACTCGCAAGGGCTCGCAACAGCCTTTCTTACGATACTCCAGAGTTTCATTTGAGGCGCACAGGGATTTGGACTCAAAGGCCACCGTGGAGTCGGTGAATTCGTGAGAGATACTCTTCGCCTTGGCTTCCTTTCCTCATTTCGGGCAGCGACAGATTCAATAGCTTTCCGCACACCTCTGTCGCCCCACCTGCTGCTGCACTGGTGGTGACGAAGCGGAACTCCCGTTGCAATGGAGCTGCTGCACGAAGACACAGACGGGTGGTCCGTCCCGGCCCCTGCATGCGGTGAAGCACATTTCTGGTGCACTCTGGCGCGGTGTGTCGTGGAACATATGAGAAGCTGTAGCCTTCAGAACACAAGTTCGCCAGGCCAGGCAGGGTCTTCCCAGTTGCAGCATGACAAGCGGAAACTGATGCTCAAACTGCTGATCTGTGAGCACCCGCTGCGAGCTGTCGAGTCAATCTGCAGAATCAAACTGCATCATCCCCGTAAGCTTAAGTCATGACCATCATAAGACCCATTCTATGCTAGTGGCGTATGGCTGCGGCGGAGGCAGACTTGCAAAAAGGTTGTTCTCACACCCATACATGATGCTGCCAACTCGCAAGTCACCACGAGAGCCTGGTGACGGTGTGAACCTGGACGTCGCACCTTTGCATTTCCACTTCTGCACTCTGACCAAAGTCCGTTCCTGAGGTGCTGGCATTCTGCAGGAGGCGGTGAGAACCAACAGCCGTCAAGGGCGACTAGGCTGTGAACTTTAGCCATCTGAACTGTTCAAATTATTGCGGCTGCCAGGGCACTTACATTCCGGGGGCACTGCACACGCTGACCGGTCGAGATTGAATCCGAGTGCAGTGCTTGAAGGCGCTCAAGCTTGAGCATGGCAGAAAACTCACAAAGCACGAAGTGTGCAACACGAGTCTGCCAACTGCAAAAGTCTCCTTGTTTTGCATTCCGTGCTACCCGACTATCCATAGGGTCGAGGCACTGGAAACAGCATAACCCATCTTCCTAGAAAGCTAACAGGCTATTCGCAGATTCGTCAACAGAACAAGATTTCACCCATGAGAAACCTTGGTGCAGTCTTTGTGCACCCGCTGCAGCCTGAACTGTTTGTTCAACCGTTCGGGTGAAGCGTGCAAGGCCAGGCCCATTATAGGGCCCAGTCAAGGGTCTGATGAATCAATCACGCGCGTCTGGAACGTCTGAGCCCATGACCCTGGCTGACACGGGCATGCTACAATGTTACCACATCTGTCAAAGCTCAGAGCACTGTCCTGATGTCCGTGTCCGTATTGCAAGAAACGGTCGGACACGAGACGAGCAATCGTGTGGTCATGCCACGAACCAACAAACCAGCACGAAGGAAAGCCCTTCCAAGCAAAGACATTCTTCGAAGAGACAGAGCAACAGTGATCACTGGAGTTGCGGTCACAAGCAGTTTAGCAACAGGGCTGTGAAGCCGTCGAGGACCCGCGCTGACGGGCAGGTGCTTCCGCAGGCCTGCACGGAAAAGTAAAGCCGCGAAGCTTGGAGCTTTGCAACTCGTGGACTGGGAACCAGGCTGTTTCGCGTCCTCGGAACAGGGGAACCCTGCCCAGGAAGCTGCACTGCATGTTTGCACACACGGCTCACGCACGACTTCACCAAATGATGCACCTGAAACTGCGCCTACACTGCACACATGCCAGCTACAGCACAGAGCCTCCAGGGCCTTTCAGAAGCAGCTCATCGAATGCCATCTGCAGAGGCATCGACGGCCCTCTCTCTGGCTCTGGCTGCACTACATTGACAAGAAGATGACCTGGCTGGGTCTGAAGTCATAGACCACAACCGTGCCATCATTGTGCACCTGGCAAGCGTACCAAAGTGCTGATGGGCCTATCTCGCTCGCGCACAGAGCTGCACCTGCAAAGCAATCCTCAGCTGGCGCCGAAATTGCAGTGATTGAGCAGGACGAATGCCTACATCCTACGAAGTATTATGATCTGCTTCAAAGCATCCATTCCTCGAACTTGGTGTGCTTGGCGGGTGGGAAAAACACCTTCTTCCTTGGCAGCAGACAAGCAAGGAAGCATCAAAGTGCAAATTCGCGGTCGACTCTGGTCGAGGCCTCACAATGGTGGTGGATCTACAAATACGAATTTAACAGTGTTAGCAGAAGTAGACTCGCAGTGGGAGAGGAGCCAAGACTAGCAGTACCAGAACTGCAGGGACGGAGAGCTACTGTTCGTAATCGTCGTCTGCCATGTGGCTGGACGGATCGCACACAACACAATGAATGGGATCCCTTTGGCTACTCGTACATCTCACACTACAGAACATGTTGTAGGATCCATTGGACTTTGGTCTTAACGTCAGAGTGCCCACGTAAACTCGGATTCGACTAATGCTAGCTAGCTCTCGTAATAGTATGCAGCAGGCAAACAATACTGAAGCCATCAACAGAACAAAACACCTCAAAATCCTCAGCCGGCCGCTGAAGGGAACTGGAACGATAGACGCTCAGCGATTCCTTGCCATACGCAACAAGCCCTCGTCCAAAGTCAACAGCAAACTCTCTAGCACGATGTGCAAACAAGCCTGGCCCGATTTGTGAAAGGAGCAAACATTGAGGAAATTCCTGCGGCAGCTGCTTCGAACACGGTAGCGCCACTATACATTGTTGAAAACGTCTAAATAGTTGCACTCTGATACCATGCAAGCGAGGCAATCTGCACACCCCGCGACTAAATAGGGGCTAGGCGAAACACGCAGTCGTGTTGATTCAATGCCAGCTTCGCAACACTGCAGCGTCAGAGGGCCCCGTTCCCTACTGGCTGCCAAGAGTGTATGTCCGCCTCTACCAGCTCTGGTCATTTCAACACCGCAGTAATCCGCACGCCAAACAAAATAAGGGTAACTGCCACAGGTAGCCCTCGCATTGCAAGCACGACAAGCTCTGGCCTGTACGAGGCGAAGTAAGTGTCGACGTCGGGAAGGCTGAGTCTTGGCAGATATCCACAGTTCTGATGCTGCTCCACTGCTCGTGGAGCATCGGCTTGGGCTCCGCGCGTCTTGATCAGGCGACAATTTGGTCGGAGCTCTTTGTACAGAAAGTGCCTGGGGATGTGCAGATGTCAAAGTGTCCAAGGCGGCTCTTAAGAATCTGTGGTTCTGCATTCCCCGTTCCTCTCTCACTACTTCATGTCTGTTGCAGGGTTGCTGGCTGGGCCAAGGCGCCCTGTGCTGTTCATTTGCCACTCCACGCTGGACAAGTGGGGGAGACAATATCGGGAAGAGTCACGGTAGCTCTGTTCTTCGCCGTTCGGTCCTGTGGAACTTCGTGCTGAAATACCCTGTCACTTTCGCTGGTCGCACTTATGTGTATAGGGAACCGTCCCGCCGAGCTCTTTGGGTAGATTCCCAGCCGCGAGCGACAAAATGAGTCTTGTTGACTTCCATGTGATGTTTGCGTTGAACCCCGACTCTCACTCCATGTCGTTCATGTGCTTCCATAAAAGTCACTATTTCCAACCTCCATGAAACGGGTTGACGTCATCTGAGGTCTCTACCGAATACCAACAGATTGCAAATGATGTTGCCCTTGGGAGTACATGGTATTCCTGCATAGTGGCGGTGCGCCCCCTCGAAACCCCGGCAGTGCCTGACCGGATCTATTTGTTGGAGCAACAGGTACCACCTTTGGGGTGGGAGGAGGAGATGGAGAAAAAGCTAAGCAGTGCGGAACATGACGTACCCTTGTCGGTCAGGAAGAAGTCGGATAGGGCAGGTGTCCCAACCTTCGGGCCTAGAGAAACAGCAATTAAGCCAGCACGTCGAAAAAGACTTACAACTTCGACAGAAAATTGCCCTGGACACACTGCAGTAGGATTCGAGCAAAGCTGTTTTGAGAATGATGTACAGCGTCGATATCCAGGCTATACCATTCTGCTGTCCGTTAGAGTCAACGAAGCAAGGAGCACCCCGGAACTCCAGCGAAGCGGAAAGCACACGAAGTGGAGGAGCAAACGGAATAGTGACCTCGAGTAACCAGTTTGTGGGATGAACCCGTGTGCTGTCAATTGCGAACTGAATGACGGATCCTACTACGACTCTTTCCACAGGAACACATGCTGGGCGGTATAGAAGTTAAGTACAACGATCTCCCATGCTCACCCATGCATCCGAGCGGGCAGGAACAAACAACCGCCGCGCTCTGGAGCTCGAGACACCAAAGTTCGCTGACGACTTTTCTCTTCCATCGTTTGGATAGAAACACTACAGCGCCGTTCGGCGTCCAGGCTCACAACCTGAAGCCGTTGCCGGGCGCGCACTTCAGGAGGAGTGGCTGGGGAAAAGAATTTAAGGACGAAGCATCGTCGAGCCAAAGTGCTACAAGCAGCCACACCGTTCGCGGTTGTTACTGCACATGCGTTGTGTGTTTCACGCAACCAGTGAAGCAAACAAGGCTTCGAGAGCATCTAGTTGTCGGGTTTTCCCAGAGTGGAACTTCTGCTGGGAGCAGATACCGATTGCTAGTTGCGCCACGCGACGGTTCGGTCGGTTGCGCTTTTGCACGTGCAGAGCTCTACTGTGCGACGAGCCCCTGCTAGGTAGTATTAGTTTGGGCGGCAGCATTCGTCGATTTGTTTGGGAGATGCTCAAACGAAGCGACACTTTTGGGATTTCATTCGCTTGACAAGAAGTGGACTTCCTGAGAGAGAAACTGTCCTGGACCCGTGCCACAGCCCGTTGAAACACATCCGCTTCCGAATGAGGGTTCAATGGCATTGCTGGCAATCCGGGCACACAGGAAAGGACAGAATCGCTCAGCTGAGTTCGTCTCTGCAAAGCATCGCCACTAAGCTGTGCAGCAGCTGCAGAAGCCTGGGGGGTAAGCTCAGAGGCCCCTAGACTCCAGATGACCTTTGACCCGGGACACTGGCCAGATCCAAAACGGCAAGGAGGCCGGTCCCAACTGCTGCCTAAAGCACTTCAGAAGCCTTTATGCGAGTGGTGCACGGCTGAGGCTGGAGCAGGGAGAGCAGCGCCACCTTGTAAGTGAGGCGGTATGTCGAGCATGACATAGGATAGCAGCATGCGGCAAAATGCTGCAACATCCGTCTGACACATCTGCATGCATAGCCCAAACAGCGAGCCTTGAGGTGCAAAGCGAGCTCCAGCCGGCAGTCGTGACTTCTGCACAGAGGCCTGAGACTGAAACAACTCTTGATCGGGATGTGATTCGTCATGCGATGATCCGTGCTGAGCCAGCCTCTCGTTGCTGTCTTCCTGGGGGAACCATCGTGGCAAATCTCAACCACACGTGTCCAGCGAGTGGCGTTCATGGTCCTTCGAGCTGTCGTCTTTCGGAGCCTTGTCCGGCAGGCCCGAATGTAAGTTGCCTTGACTCCTGACTCACTGAACTCACCCTCATAAGCATTCCACTTTCCATGGATTGGCCCTCCACCTTTCATGATGACGACTCCAGCACGCAGATGGCTGCTGAGCTTGATGGGCCTCGAAGTCTGGATGAAGCCAGAGCTTCCAGAAGAAGAGATCGAGACCTGAGGGCACGAACCCACTACGAATGCCGCTGCAGATTCAGCAGCTTGAGTGACTGACGATTTGCAGACATGTTGTCCTGAATTACCACCATGAAATCCTGCATCAAGCAGCCAATTAAGAAGAACAACGAGGACAGTAAACACCGATACGCAAACCACTCTGAGCCTGAGTCAGCACCAAGTCGAAGGGCTCCTGGTGAGATGGCTCGTTCGCTTCCGCTGCTTCGAGGGCTTTCTTGAATGTGCCATGCTTTGCCGTGCTTTCCCACCTCGCAGCCGCTGTAGAAGCGAAATATCGGCGAAAACCCAGCTTTGGAGTCCCAAAGCGTTATCACTGACCTGCCAGTGCCAAGAGATGCTTCGGTGCCAAAATTGACTTCTGTAGTGATGCGGATATCATCTTCAGATGGTATGTACTTGCAGCGATCGTCACTTCCCATGGGCAAGCCTCGAATCCAATGCGCAAAGGATGAAGTGATCCATGGTGTAGACCTTACTCCAACATACCAAAACTTGCATGCTGCTACATGTACTCTGGTATGAATGCTCGGTCGCAGAGCAGAGACCCAGGTCACACGCGCCACATCCACCTGCTTTCACACTGCAGTGAACTCTCAGCACTGGCATCTACCCAGCGTGCCTGCACCAGCGGGCTGTCTGCTTGCAAGAAAGCCCGAGGCTCTCCGTCCAATGTCCACACCTCTGCACTGCACACACTCGTCTCCTGCAAGGAGCGGACATCTTCTGGGATCGCGACATTCAGAGATCTCTGGCTGCCACGGCCCTCCGCTGCACAACGGGCGATCATGCTCAAACCACTCCCTTCAGTTCGTTCAACCGGGCATGGGAGAACGACATTTTCTGAAACCTGGTGCGTCTGGGCCAGAGACGGTCCGAAAGATAGTGGGCGAGGTAAGGACCCGCTGCGTAGAGGAAACAAGCTTCTCATCAAGATTGAAGAGTCCCCCCCCCGCGGCGTGTGGAAATGAAGGGGCGAATGTCAGAGCAAACCGACACACATGGGCAGCGTTGTATGAGGCTGCCGTGGAAGAGTTGTCCTTGCGAGCACCAAGAACGTCCTATCGGGACCTCCTGAAAAAGACAAAATCGAGGATGCGGTAGACACCATTGCGAGATTGATAGGGGGACATCCAGACTTGATTTGCAGCGAGAGAGACCTGAGGGACAAGTGGGATATGGTCTTTCAGGAGTGATATTATGAGAAAGCCACGTTGTTAGGGGACAGGAGTAAACAGCGACATGGTCTCTCTGCTGACAAGGGGAAGGGTTCCGGAGGTAGTCAAAGAGTTCAGTGAGAGCCTCCAGCTCCCCTCTAGTGACTCTAGTGGTAGACCTCGGGAGGGTGTCCAAGAAATAGGTACGGCATGCCCCAAAACAGAGGAGAGGCGGTCAGTGGCAAGCGCTAACCCGCCGCAGAGTTTTTGAAGGAGACAACACGATTGTTCGCACAGGAGCCGGCTGTGCGCATGAGTAAAGGAGCCGCTTTGTTTGGCAGGATTTGAGGCCGAGAAGAACAAAGACGTCGTCCCTGCTTGTTTTTGCGAAGCACTAGAAAAAGCTTGAAGGACACCTCGGCGAACACTCTTGATGCCCCACCAGTTTGCCATCACGATTGATTACTGCTGAAGTGTGGACGAGCATCACACCGCCTGCAGGGGATGTATGCAACACCCTCCACCGGAGCTCTTGCGAGGTTTTTCTGGAGTGCAGTACAGTGTAAGAAGCAGCAGTCTTAGCACCTCCCCTCAAACAGTCTTGCTCTGTGCTTCATCACGACTTCACTGGTGGAGACGCCAGCAAAACACATGCACATGGCCTAGGTGACGGAGAATTCAACATGACTGTACTTAGGCTGCTGTTTCTTCATTGGGTCCCCAATGCAACCGTCCTCTGCGGCCTGGGGACCTTGGCTGCATCCTTTCCCTCGGGCGCGCGAGCCGAGCATGTTGGATCGCCGCTTAGGGGACTGCATCGAGTATACCACACACATCATGATTTGTCGGGCTCTTCTAGGGTGCCCAGGACATCTGTCCAGGAAAGCTCGGGAGCTCTCTCCAAGAATGACTTCCGTGCTCTTGAAGCGCCTGAACAGTGTCGGCTGCCAAAGGACCAGCATGAGGAGCTGCATGGCGCCAGGTCAGCAATAAGCCTCCCATCCACTGGACCTGCTTTCGGCCAACTTCCAGCTGCAAGTTTAGTCAGAACGGGAAGCACCTCCAGCGTGTCCCGTGCACCTTGCAAGAGACTTTGGGACACCAGCCAGACGTCTGCTTCTGGGAGTCATGCCGGGTGAACGCTCCAGCTCGGTGTTGGGACCTGCAAATCAGCACGCTGACGCGGCCCATGTGTGAAATGCTCTGGGCACCGAGCTTTTCCTGCCAAAGCTTGTACCAATGTCATCATGCTGGCACGAGGCAAGCGACACTCTTGGAGAGGTCTGTGAGGGCTAGTGCTAGGGCAAGGCCTCACCTCGATGCAGCAAATGAACTCCAAGGTCTCCGTGTGCCAAAGAAGGCAACAGCTGCTCTCAACCAGAATGAGCCTCTGCCTGCATGGGCCCATCAATGAAATTTGTGTGGTGCTGCATGCTGGCAGACTGCCAGCCTGTGCACCAACAGCTCAAGGGGGCGACCAACCTCACAAAGCTGGGCTCTCTGCTCTCTGTCTGCTCTCTGCTCAATGCAGCTCTTGCGGGCTGGGGCCGCTGCTCTTGAAAGCAAGCCGGGATGCCTAAACACATCCGAACACCGTGACGCCATGCAAAACTGGTTGCCAAAGAAGTCACTCAAGCTGCAGCCCTGGCCTGGCATCTGGCAGCGTAATTGGCTCGCGTGAGCTGTCGTACTCCCAGACCTCTAGGCAGCGCCGCTGCCATGATGATGCCCTGCACTTAAGCTGTTCAATAGGCCACCTTGATGCAATCATTCAGGCAGACGAAGAGCTTGTTCTTGACGTTGGCGAGTCTGTGGAAGCATCCTGAACATCAAGACTCAAAGGTATATAAGCGTCCAAACGATGTTTTCCGACGGTGTCTCCTCTGAAGGAAACGATTGCACTTTGCTTACTGCGCTTGCATGCTGCTGATTGCCATCCGAACACACACAGACACACACACTGGCAATGCAAACAGCAGGTCCATGCTGAATGGATTTTGTAAAGCGTGCTGGCTTTCATCTTCAGAGGCTCCTCATCTGGGTAGCAGGATCGTCTTGCAAGCATCTGAAGAGCAGCTCTGCTTCTCAGGTCCGGTGCACTTCTGCAAAGATTCAATTTGCCGAAGGATCTTGCGTTCTGGAGGGATCTGGAGGTCTCCGGGTCTGACACCCTGCTCCTAATCCTGCTGTCCTGGTGGACTTTGCTGACTGAGGCCATCGCTTCTGAAAATCTGTCCTGTGTCAATCTCCCTGAGAACCTTTCGATTGACCATACGGAAGGTATCGAGCGGCTTGTGAGCTGTCTGTTGCAGCGTGCTTTACGATGCACCTGCCCGTCGCTGCATCGGACCACTTGCACCACACGGCCATTCTCCCAAAAGAAGACGTTGCCTCATGCCAGATGCTGAAGCAGCACATGAGTCTAATAGAGGTCTGCCATATAAAATGATCCCCTAGGACCCAGCAGTTGTCTGCCACCTCCAAACCTTGGCAACGACACAGTCTTGTTGGACCAAGCAAGATCCTCCCTACTGTCTCATACAGCCGGGGCTTGTGGCTGCCGCGGTAACGCTTTCGCTGCCTTTCAATGCATGTTATTTTCTCCTCTTTACCCATTGTGAGACGCCGAAGACCTCCTTGTCCGGCTGCGAACCGCAGACGATCCGGGAGCACCTTAAGTCACAGCCCCGTAGTCATCGACCGGCGGTGAACAGCTTGGATTGTTGTGAGCTTCTGTGCATTGAGGTAGGCACCATCGAAGGCCTGAGGAAGCTAGCAGCTAGCAGCCAAAGAGATGGCTATGCACAAGAGCAGTGGCGACACTAGGCCTTCAGAATGAACCCAACACGTACGACGTACAATTATTCTCGCAGACTCGCACGGAGATTGGATGCTGTGCTATGCAACAAGGAAGAAGGCGAAGAAGGATGCGTCCCACCTCTCCAAGCCAAGCACAAGGCCTCAGCCTAGGCGTGCAAATGGTGCCAGCTCCCAGCTCGAGCAACCATGTCGTGACCGTCTCAGCGTTTGACAAGGCAGGCATGGTCCTTTTCATGGCATTCTGTTGGTCGACGTTGTGGTGGACCTTTCACGGCCCTTCCATTCGCCGCACACCAAAAACTCTTCGGGACCAACCCAAGCCCCAAACTCCAGAACCATTTTCGGTCTCTCATTTCAAGCACGACTTTGGCACCACCGCCGTGCACACATCTTACTTATCTTGCTTCCAGATACCCAAAAAGCACTCATCCCAGCTTTTTGAATTGCAAGGCAACCTGGCAACGAGCATATCTCACGACATGTGACACACAAAGCTGAGACATTGAAGTTAACATCATACCATATGGACATCAGTCTCGAAACTACTGCACTGTGACCTGTCGAATGTAGATGAAGAGTCGCCGCCATCTGCCGTCATCCCACACCTCTTCATAGGTGCACGGCCGTGCACCGGCCCCATGGTCAGAGTTTGAGATGTGGAGGCCTCCAAAGAGCGCATGTAATCTTCATAGTAGACGCCGAAGAACTGAAGCACGAACAGGTGCCTGTCGCATCTCGAACAATGACAGAGCTGTGCACATGAATAACGCTGTGGCTCCCGCCAGTGCTCGTGCACTGCTGCAAGCCTGTGCACAGGGCTTTCGTTCTCGTGCTCCCGATGCAAGTTTAGTGGCCATCGCGATGTTGCAGCCGATGTGGGTCTCTAATTTTGGGCGAACCGCATGCCAAACCTTTCAAAAAGCAGTTCGAAGTGACTTTTTGGTCATGAACCTTTGCGGCCATACTCGAAAGCCACGGCAACTACCCCGGCCTTTGTGCTATGTGATTCCATGAGCAAGCTTTCGAAAGTGAAGTCACGTCGAGAAACGACCTCAAACTCTCAACATGTGGACAATCCATCCTGAGAGCTAGCTGCCCGGGTGCACGGCAACACCAACGTAAGAACGTCTGCCCGAAGATCACAAATAGATGCATGATGCCTGTTCGCACAGGTCGATTCAAGCCGCATACCTCGAAGAAGTACTCGCGCCGCAACACATGCCTTGCGACCCAGCTCATGGCAGAAGATCATGGTCACCATATCATGCTGAAGAAGCCATAGCCGTGTGCTGAACCTTGTTGAGACTTTGAATGTCATGTCCAATGGAGTTGCGTGAGTTACGAAACTCAATGAGCTTTCTGATGCTTTTAGCCGTCGCTTTTGGCGAGAGTTGGAAACCGAAAAGAAGCGGGTGAGAACAGTCAGGACAGTGTTTCACATAACATCTGAGTGCTGGCAGACTGAAAAGGTGACGAGTGTAGCGTTACCGGCAGGCCACCACGCCAAGCGATGACTGTGAGCTCGTCACCCAAGCACAAAAAAACTTGCCAAGATAACAAGCAAACCCGACTGCTGCGAATCCAAGCTCTCATCGAAGCTACAGCAAGCAGAAACCAAACTTCATCGTATCTTCACAGTGCGTGTGGCTCACATGCAAATTGTTGCGGTGCCGCGGAAGTGAGCTACTGCTTTGCGCTGGGCAGCGAACAAGATGTTCCAAGGTCCGACTTGGCGCTTCTGCTGCCATCATACTGTGCAAGCAACTGAAGCCGGCAGACAACCGCCGAGCGTGACCGCGAGTCTTATCTAATACAAATTTTCTTTCCAAAAAACGGACACAACTGTTTTCTGCAACCACACAACCAAGCTTCTCGAAGCTTTTCATTTTGGTGACTTTGGATAGAAGCTTCCTATTCTCAGTGTTCATCAAGCTTGCAAGTTCGTCGTCGAAACAGCAGAGGAACCAGCGATTTTGGCTGGCGAGATGACACGCCTGTTGTCTGAATTGTCCACGTCGCTGAATTCTGGCGCAGAAAATCCTCTGCGGAACGTTGGGTTTTCAGCAATGAGTCTGAGCAGCACGCAGCTTCCGCTGAGTAGCCAGCTCCTTTGCGGCTTGGAGAGACTGTCGAAGGCACAAGGCGTCGAGATCGAGCAGATCAAAACGTTTCAGGGGCCTTGCAGGAGGGTTTTGATAACAGCAACTCGCGTGCTTATTGTTCGCAGAGTGCATGCCACGTGTGCTTGTCGTTGCAACAAGCTTTGCTTTATCCACTTTTCGGCTGCGTTCGGAGGACACCTCATGGAAGAAAGTCTGCTTATACTGAGCAAAGTGAGCAAGAAAAAACATGTGTGGACTCAAAACAAGAGCTTTTCCATGTAGACCCAACAGTGGAAGAATGCTTGGCAGCTTTGAAGTCGAGAAGGCATGAGATCAAGGAGAGCGCAAAAAGCGACCGAGATGAAAAAATCGATGAAGCAAAGGCCAAATCAAAAGCAAAAAGCAACAGCTCTGCTGCTGTCCTACCAAGCTGACATGCATGAAAGAAACATCGCTGAAAGCCACGCGAAGGCAAAAGCTAAAACAAAAAGCTTCCGCTGTTCTCCAAGTTTGCTGTGCAGAGAAGCAAAGTTCGCAACACAAACAGAGAAAAGGACTGCTAGTGGCTTTTCTGTCATTCGATGACACCAGTGGTCTTGGTTTTGCACCTCAGAAAATTCCAGGAATCGCAGGAAAATTGGCTTGCACTCCAAACAGTCAGCAGGCTCAGAGGCACAACTGCGTGTGTTTACTTGTATTGCTCTTAACCGAGTTCTGCACTGCACCAAAGCTTTGAAAAAGATGATCTCGCTCAGCAAGTCCATGAAGCCAAAAGCAGTCTATTGGTCATAAGTGGCGTTCAGCCCAAGCAAAAACAAACCAAGGCTTCTAGCAAAGTTGCTGAAGCAAGATAAGCGGAGCAACAGGAGAAAGAAAGTTCAAAAGGAAAGCACATTCGAACCTGGATTCAACTCCGAATCAAACCCAGATTTTAAAGCCAGGTTTTAACCCAGGTTTGAACCTGGTTCCAACCCAGATTTGGAACTCTGACCCATGTTTAACCCAGATTATAAAGCAAATTAAACCCAGTTTGAAACCCAGATTCTTTTTTTTTGGCGTGGGCGGGCCTCAACGACAGCAGGTTGCTGCACTCGGTCCCAGCAAGAACTGCAAGAAAGCCAAGAACAGAATCTACTGTACAAAGAAAGATAATAACAAAGTGAACAGGCCGCGACTAGCACCGGCAGACGTCGTTCGGCAAGACATGCGCAAAGCAAATCTACCACCGCTCAGATGCCCCGCTTCCCAGTCACACTGAGTTGACCAGCATCGAATGGAGGCGGGCAACATGAAACAACCCTCCTGAACAAGGTGGGTCTCACAAGGGCAGACGCACAATTTCCTTACAATGGAGCAAGCCAGACAGCATTGTACACGCCATGCTGTACCATCGGTCGCGTGCAAGCACCGGGACAGGCTTGGAACGCGTGATGCCATGAAGCGGCCGGTTGGCCAGCACAGCATGTACCATGCTGCTTAGTTTGCTGCATAGTGCCAACATCAGAGTGCTGCCGGTGTAGTTGAGCAACCTCTTAGGTGAGAGATAGTCCCACCTAGCAGGGTCATGCAAATACCCAGCTTGCAAGACCGCCCTCGCCTCCTGGACTGGCGGAAGGGAGGGAAAAAATCCGAGGGCATGCGCAAGAAGCCGCAGGGCTTCATAGTGTGCACCCACAAGGTCAATCTCCCAAGCCTCTGGCCCCAAGGCGGCTAAGCGCATGGGTTTGGTAAGGGTGCCAATGCCCGACACAGTGTAGTAGCGTCCCTGCGGGAAGACTGCCGACCTACGATACTGCAGCGGCTGTACGGCGCGAGAGAGAGAGAGGCACCCCACATGTCTCTGATCGCTGCGAGGCCTTTAAGGTGGCGCTCACCCAACTTGGCAATAAGTCTACCAACTAAAGTGTAGTGCACTGGCTCGGGCTCCGGCAGGGTAACAACCGGCGCAGCATCCCGAAGCTGCATGACGGCTGTCTCGAGTCTCAAGATGAAAGCCTGTCCATGCTCGCTGAGGCCCGTCGTCTTGGAAGAGAGAAGAGAGATCTGAGACAACCTGAAACGAAAACGGCATAACTTCAAACGGAGCATCAAAAAGGCTGACATAACAAGCCGCACAAGGATCCTCACCTCTTTTCAGCATCAACCTGGCGGCCTGCAAGGCCTCGCCAGCAAGGCGATCAGCAACATCGTTGGCGCTCCGCAGGATGTGCTCCCACGTTGTGTCGGCGTGCAACCTCCCAACCGATCCCAAGCGCGTTAGAACCTTTTCGCAAGGGCAGGGCGGCGCACCCTCCCAAATCCCGCAAAATAGGCAACGATAGCAAGGTTATCCCCTTGGAAGTGGAAGGCCTTAATAGCCGTTCCTTGCGCCTGAACGGCAAGGCAAAAAAAAGGTGTACGTGTCTTCCACTGCGAGAATGGCAGCCTCCGCTTCAGCCTCAGTCCGAGCACGGCGTTGGGGTTTTGGACGCCGCCACATGCGCCGGCCCAAGTCCGACCTGATAGCCACCATCGAACTGCACATAGACAGTGTCGAGAGGTTTTTTTTGGCGTGGGCGGGCCTCGTCGACTACGGCTGTAGCACTCGGTCCCTACAAACAGGACAAACCAACAAACAAACCAAAACAGCGGTGAAACAGGGCGGCTCGATAACAAGAGGCAAAGAGCTAGCTGCGGCGCACAGGCTTTGCCGGTGTTGGCCGTTCAGCACAAGCTACGGGGCCTCAGCGACCGATCCACAACAGCAAGAGGCCGTCGCCTAGAGCTGTCCAAGACCACCGGTGGAGCCCAAAGTCGAAGCTCCGGCCGCCGTTCTAGTTCCGTCGAACAACGGTCAGCCCCGGGGTCCTGTTGTGTCGCGATCGTGCACACAAAGTCCACAAGTCCACGGTGGAATCCACAACCATCGGCAGGAGCCAGGAAATGGACCCTACGACGTATGTCGCTGGTCATAGATGACTCTGATCTTCTGGAACGCGGTCCCACACCGTACACCCCTTTAGGATTACTCCTGTGGGAGTGTATGACCAGTTTGAGTCCCGTGGGATCTAAGGCAACGCCCAGCACACGGACAGCGATTGTTTTGTTCTGCTACGCAGAAAGAGCTTGTTGTCAAGTTGGTAAAACCACTTGAGCCAGCGAGCAGCGGACATGTATACATGTGAGCATGCAGCCAAGCCATTGCTGTAAGTACCACCCCTTTAGAGGTTTAGGCAAACAGGGGGGGGGGGGGGCAAAGGGTCGAAGCCTTTAAGCTCCAAGGTTCTCATCCACCACTTGGTGGCCCAAGAGACGAACGAAAAGACTCTGCCCGATGGACGCCGCGCATGGTTTTGGCTGAGACTCTAGCGGCCAGGAACACTGGAGACGAAGCGGCGGCCTTCATTGAACGGGGTGGAATCGGCCCAGGCATTCAAATCCCGTTCTCTACTGAGCTGATCTCCATGAGCCGGATCAAGATACACACCGATATGGTTTTTACCGCCTATAGGAGCTGTATGAGCAGCGCAATTACCAAACATTGTACATGTTGCGCGAATTCCACTTTCCGACCAGCGGCAACGACATGCAGCGCCTGCTGGATTCTTGGCCGCAGCCACTGGATTGTACCCAGTGAGCTCAGTTTTTCTGGTAGCGGAGCCCGGAAGGGCCGCCCGCCCGAAGGCGCCACAGAGCAGCATGCAGAAGACCAGCGGACTGGATGGAAAGCGTGGACGGCGCTTAGAGACCCAAGGCGACATCGTCCAGGGAGCATAAGTCTGAAAGTGTCCTTGCACACGCCCAGGTATGAGAACATTTCGAAGTTACCACGTCTAGCGGAAGAAGCCCGCGATGGAAGCCTTCCATCAGCCGTGCGGCAATAGTGATTTGAAGCCGCCCCACAAGGGAGGCAGGCACTTCCTCCTTAACCCGTACCTCAAGAAAATGCAGGTTATTCTGACAGACTGGAGAAATGCGCACGAGTTGTAGCAGGGAAGCTGCTTCAGGCTCATCTACCAGAGTTCGTGCAAGATAGAACAACAACTGCACCGGCAACAGCACACCACAATGAAGCAAGGGGTGCCCTGATTCGGGCCATGCTCGAGCCTCCCTCCTCCGGGCAACAATCGGCTAGGCGGGTGTTCCGCGGCGTCAAGC